CCATTTTTCTTGACCAACAACCTATTTTACCAATAACATAGCTACTTTTATTATCCAGCACCCAAATAATACTAACAACAGTAATAAATAGTTTAATTTTAACTGCTTTTATTTTAAAATCATTCAGAATAAATATTTCTTCTCTTAAAAATTTTCATGGGTGCGTCTTCATGTGCAAAACTTTTTAGACATGAGTACTCACTTATTTAAAGGGTGTTTCTCACCCAACTATGTAGATTTTTTTTCGTCATCCTGTTAATAAATTTTGTTTATTATGTGGTGTTAATTTCCATTATTGATGACTTTACATGAAAGTGAATTTTCTTTAAAGTTTGTCAATATGTCAACATTCCTATGCAATGTTGTATAAAAGTTGACGAAAATCACAAAGAGTATTTTCTGAGATATGTAGTTTCACTATTTTTAAAAACTTATCTGTGATGTATTATGCAAGTCTCTCAGTAATTTCTTTGAAAAATTTGAGGATTTCAGAACTAACAAGAAATTCTAATAAAAGTTAATACCCAGATAATTTTTAGAAGAGAAAAGAGAGTGAAAGAATGAAACTAAGAGAGAAGAGAATTTTATGATGTTCTGGAATGAAATGGGTTGTTCTATTTATAGAACATGTAAAACACTATTGCAACAAACATATGAACATTAGCATCAGCCAACATTCTTTTGCATAAATGTAATTTTATTACACATTAATGTAATAATATTATAACAATCCCCCACATATTGCAAAAGAAAGTTGAAAGAAAAAGTCATCGACCCACAATATAGTTTGTATAGAAAGCTATATGAACTAAAAACACTTGATGTGTGTTACAGGTTTATCGAACACAATACACTCTCATAATCCTTGTTGTTGTCTCTGTGTTGCGCTTACTAACCATGTGCATGTCCGATATTTATGAGTGCTCTAGAGGTCATGTCAAGACCTCATACAAGCAGCCTCACTGGACACTCATATAGGTGATTTCATCATGTGTGTGATGTAAATCATACACCACCCATAAGGAATATGAAAATTATTAAAAACTTTCTTTAGGCTAAAATTCTTTCACCACATAAAATTTTAATGACAAATTTTAACCTCTTAATAATGCAATCTTTATAACTTTCACACACACCATAAGAATGGAAATAATTCATTAAAATGAATTTAGTGTTATCAAAACTAACAAGTAAATTATTTTTACCCATATGAACCTTATTCATGGGATCTCCAATTGCAAAGGTTGGATTACCACCACTTGTTTGTTTGGAGTGGCTTAAGTCTCATTCCCCTCGATGTTTGTAATATCATTTGTCTTCCAAGGTGTCTTGTCAAAAGATCTGCTAGATTTCGTTCTGACTTCACATAATCAATGGAAATAGTTTCACTCTTTAGCAGTTACTTCAATTGTATATGTCTATTCTTTCCATTGCAGTTCTTGTTTTTAGCTACTATTGTCGATTGAAAATCATAATGTATTGGTACTGATGTGATTCGTTTCATTCCTAGTTTAATATTCGCTAAGAAGTTTTTCAACCACTCAGCCTCATTATCAGTCATCTCAAGGGCAAAAAACTCAGATTCCATTGTTGATCTTACAATAATTGTTTGTCTGACTGATCTCCATGTAATCACACCATCCCAAGTGTGAATACATAACCACTAGTGAATTTTGTCTCATCTGAATCAGAAATCCAGTTAGCATCACTGTACCTTTTTAATACAACAAGAAATGCACTATATTCAATGGCATAATCCATTAAACCACTTAAGTATCTCATAATCCTATTAAGTGCATCCCAATGTTCCTAATTTGAACATTGAGTGTACCTACTCAATCTATCTACTTCATAAGCAATATCATGTCTAGAAAAGCTCATCAAGTGTAGTAAGCTCCCAATTATGTAGGCATACTGAGGCTGAGATATAGACTCTCCTTTATTTTTCAGTAATTTGGAATTAACATCATAAGGAGTACTCACTCGTATTAAGTCATAAAACGCAAACTTCTTAAGAAGTTTCTCAACATATTGTTCTTGGAATAATAATGTACTATCTCCCTTCCTTATGATTCTAGTACCTAAAATCGCATTGGCTTCACCCATATCTATCATTTTAAAATTTGATCCTAGAAACAATTTAGTTCTAGCTACAATTTCATTGCATGTACCAAAAATTAACATGTCATCCATATACAAACATATACGGACACAATCACCATTTTCGGATTTAGAGTACACACATTTATCAACATTGTTAGGTGAAAAACCATCACAAAGCAACAAATTATCAAGTTTTTGATGTCATTGTTTTGGTGCTTGTTTCAACCCATACAAGGATTTTAAAAGTTGGTATATTTTATCCTCTTGTTTAGGTACAACACACTCTTGAGGTTGATTCATATAAATTTCCTCCTCCAAATCACTATTCAAAAAAGTTGTTTTAACATTCATTTGTTGTATCACTAGCTATGGATAATAGAGCTAACAACACTTGAATGGCGAAAATCCTTGTCACAAGAACAAAAGTATCAAAGTAATCTATGTTTGGTTTTTTAGTGAAACATTTTGTCACTAATCTTGCCTTATTTCTCTATGGATCCATCAGGGGAACACTTTTTCTTAAATATCCACTTACAACCAATGCGTTTTGCTACTTTAGGAAAATTTACTAAAGTCTAAGTATTGTTTTTCTAAATTCATCCAATTTCAATCTTAATGGCCTTATCTCACTGCTTTGCATCAGGAGCACTAATAGCTTCTACAAAGCTGGTTGGATCATTATCAACAAGATAAGTATAAAAGTCATCTCCAAAGGAAGTTTCATTTCTTTGTCTTTTACTTTTTCTCAAATCTTTTTTCATGGTATCATTATTATTATTATCATCAACAAGTTAAGACATCTCACTAACCTTTAAGCGAAACACATGTTAAAAAACTCATCATTTTTCGTTTCCATTATAGAATTTCTCTCAAGTATGTTACTTTTAAGAACTAGAAACCTATAGGCAACATTATGTTCAGCATACCCTAAGAACATGCAATCAGAGGTTTTAGAACTCATTTTTCTTTTCTTAGGATCGGGTAAAATCACCTTAGCTAGGCACTCTCACAGTATTAGATATTTAAGATTAGGTTGGTAACTTTTCCACAACTCATAGGGAGTTTTATCAGTTTTCTTATGGGGTGTTCTATTTTGTAAAAAAAACATACAGTAAGAAGGACTTATCCCTAAAGGTTATCAGGTGCACCAGAGCTAACAAGTATAACATTCATTGTTTCCATAAGAGTTATATTATTTCTCTCAGTTACTCCATTTAACTTAGGTGAATATATGGTGGGGTCACTTCATAGATAATTCCTTCTTTAATCCAAAATTCATTAAACAACACATACTTACCACTTTATATGATATAATCCTCTGAATTTTTTAATCCATTTCATAGACTCTTGCTTTAAAGTGTGCCATTATCCATAAAAAAATTATTAAAGTTATAGTTAAGTAAGCTGAAATGGAATCCATAGCTACTGTTAATTGTAGTAACATTTATCTGGATCAATTGTTGCAAATTATTGTATTTCGTTATTTTCTTTAGAGTTTAATAATAAATATAAAATCAAGTTTTGAGATATTAATTAAGTTGGTTGAAGTCATTTAATCATCTTAATGTTCATAAAATGCAGAATAATGTTAACTATTCTTATTATAGACGCATCCAAATTAAAAGAGATTTTTCAAAATTGAGACTTGTAGTTTACTTGTTATAATTTTGATTGAAAATATGTTTTTATATAATGCAAAGGAGTAACGATAGGTTCAACTCTAACAATTAAAAAAAGCATCTAAATTACAAATAAAGAACATTTTAATTATATTTATTTTATTTACTAATTACTTTTTATTATATTTTTTTATTATTTTTTCTCTTTATTATATTTAATTATTTTTAAAATTAAAATAATTATCTTATCATTTTATATTTTAAAATAATTATTTGTTTAAATTTAACTATTTTTAGAATTTAAATTAGTTAGATAATTATTTTTATAATTTAAATTAATTAGTTATGGTAAAAAATTATGTGTCCATAACTAACTTGTTTTCAGTAGTATTTATTAAAAAAAATGTTTAAATATGTTTTCAGTACTTAATTTATAATATGAAATTGAATTTTGTATTTTTATCACAAACTTTAATAGAGTTTAATCTCTAAACATTAAAAATGAATGGTTGATATACATGTAATAATACCATTAATCATATTAATAAATATTTAACTTCTTATAATGACAAAGATTACATCTATTTAATTTATAATTGAATAAATAAATTATATTAAAATTTGAAATAAGACTAATTCAATAAGCAAAAACCAAATTCAGCCCTTAAAAAGAAAGAACAAAATGCATGTACTTTATTTAAGGAGATGTGAAAGTATAAGTTTTCTATTTAGTTAGGTATACATAAAGAAGTCTCAGTACAGACCCTACTTACCCGTGCACCACTTGAAGGCAAATCACCGTAGTGTACACAATCCCAGTCAGGAAAGAATCCAACGCCAAATCCAATTATGAGATTTGTCATTTTCCCTTTGAAGGAGTGGTTATGTTCATACTAAAAAAATAAGAAGATAAATTTTACGTGGCAACCCAAAGTTTCTTATCCCAACGAAACCTTAATAGAAAAATGGTATACTTTTAATTTTATAGTTGATTTTTGTTAGATTATTTTATTAATGTTGCATGGACGTTGCATGAAATATGGGATGTTGGTTTATCTTCTCTCAAATTAAAAAAAAAAAAAACTATTTTATAACTTCAAATAATAATATTTGAATTATTTTTTAATCTTAAATTTTAATATATAATTTTAGAGAGGGTATTACTATTCAATCAACAACCCTATGCCCCGTCATATTTTATTAACTTTTTCTTTTTCCTATTTCCATTAAGCCTTATAAATTGACATGCATGGTAATGAAAATGAGAGCCAACAATCAACAGCACAAGCAAATCTTCAAGCATGGCTCTGTTGTATTTTGCTTTGGTCATTCTGCTCTTTCTCTTTTCTCTTAAGCTCTTGTTCCAAACAAGAAGATTTAGAAACCTTCCTCCAGGGCCAATTTCTTACCCTATAATCGGAAACCTCTTCCAACTCAAACAGCCTTTCCATCGCACATTCACTCAAATGTCGCAAAAATACGGTCCAGTCTTCTCTCTCTGGTTCGGTTCCCGACTCGTTGTCGTCGTTTGTTCACAATCCGCGGTGCAAGAATGCTTCACCAAAAACGACATCGTGTTGGCGAACCGACCTCACTTTCTGTTTGGCAAATACATCAGCTACAATAACAGCACCATCCTTCACTCCTCCTACGGCGACCACTGGCGCCACCTCCGCCGCATCTTGTCGCTGGAGGTTGTCTCAACGAACCGTTTAAACTCCTTCTACGAGGTCCGAAGGGACGAGATCATGAGGCTGGTGCAAAAGCTCGCTAACCTCTCATCGAACCACTTCACCAAAGTGGATCTAAAAGCCATGTGAGTTTTCATCAAGTCAAACAAACTTTGTTT